CCCCCCCCCCCCCCGTGTGGTATTGACGTATAAAACATCACAGCCCCTATTTTGTTTTCTTTTATTTTCTTTTTTGTTTCTTTTTCTTTGCTTTTTTCTTTAATTAAAAAAAACTAACTTAATTAATTAAATCCTAATTTTAATCCTAAATTATAAAATTAAGCTAATCATCTATTTGTATTATATACCAATTAATTAATCCTATATTAATAAAGAGGGAATTAAAACTAAAAAAGTAGAAAAATGAACGACATTTTTTGTGATTTTATTTTGATAATGCAATTAATTAACCAATTAATCCTAAAACATGAACATAAAATCTAATATGCAATGCATGGTATTTTGATATTTTTTTTGGGGCATTTTCATGATTTTAACAAAATTAAACGTGCACAAAAATGCAAACAATTAATAAAAATCCTACAAAATCCTATAAAAATTGAAAACAATTTGAAAAAATCTATTCTTTAATTTTGTAGGAGTAATTCTAATAGGCAAAAATCACATGCTCAGAGCTGCCCCTCTTTGCTCGGAAACACGAAGAGTTTTCGGCCAAAGATAAAATGAGCAATTATGAGCGATTTTTGCCCGTCTGGATACTCCCTGGGAAGCATTTTTGGGAAAAAGCCTGACCGAACCTTGCTTCGGAGGTTGCCTTCATATCCTTGGCTATAAAGGAATCAGGTCAGTGTAGTTCTGAAAGTTTTGGTAGCTAGGACTACCGAGAAATTGTGATTTCACTACTGTTGCTGCTGTTTCTGGCTGCTGAGCTCCTTATTACACCAAAGTTGAAATGAAAAGCTAAACTAACTATCTATCAACTATGAGTTACAGGATTCCTATCTATAAACCTTCTGGAGCTTGATCTTGAGTCTTGACTGGATGCGGACTCTGATCTGAATCTTGATGGTTGTTAGTTGTAGGTGCTAGTTCATTCTTCTTCAGTTTTTGAAACGAAAATGGGGACTTGCAAGGCTTGCGACTTCAATCATGTCTTGAGCGTTCCACATCTTTTTTCACCTCTGCACTTTGGGTTCACTTCTTTTCTTTTGTTCTTTTTCTTTTATTCTGGATCGAGACTTTTTCTTTTGGTCGCCTCGAAACTTGCGCCTCAAGGTAAAAACCTGCTCAGGCACCAAAACAAACAAACAAACGAAATTTTCTGCCCCAGTTTTCACTAGGAAAATTTCGTGAGTTATTGTAACAAAAATCTAAAATACTTCTTTATTGAAAGCAATAAAATTAGGATTGTGTATCCTTGGGAAAAAGAGATTAGGGAGTGACCCTATATCTAAAATAAAATCAACTGGGGATTGGAGGCCCTAAGTTGGAAAGATTACCAGGTTATGCTAGCATCAACTAAGGAGTGGGACCCTATGTTGGGAAAAGATTACCAGGTTATGCTGGTATCAACTAGGGAGTGAGACCCTATGCTGGAAAAGATTACCAGGTTGTGCTGGCATCAACTAGGGAGTGGGACCCTATGTTGGAAAAGTCAACGGGTTATGCCAGAAAAGTCATCGGGTTATGCCGTAAAAGTCATCAGGTTATTCCGGAAAAGTCATCGGGTTATGCCGAAAAAGTCATCGGGTTATGCCGGAATCAACTAGGGAGTGATACCCTATGTTGGAAAAGACGTAGCTAGAGATTGGAGACCCTATGCTACCATGATTTTAAATTTTTCTTCTTCTTCTTTTCATTTCATTTTAGCAATTTTTTTTATCTGAGAAAATGAATAAAAATGCAGGAAAGAATTTGGAGGAGACTTCCCTTTTGGATTGATTATTGCTGCAGAGCTATTTTAGTCTCTGTGCGGTTTCCTTTTGTTGCACCTGCTTCTTACTTTTGGATTGCACTTGTTTCCTGTTTTTGTCAAACAAAGAACAATTTGTTAGTTTGAAACGGTGGTTGGTTTTGTGGCCTTGAGCGTTTCAGTCACTTGATCTTGGTCCAGCTCTTCCAATAAAAATTTCCATTGCTCGCTGGCTCTCTGGAAATTGGTTTCATTTCTAAACTTAGGGATCTTGACTTTTCGCAAATTCCACATGATGACTAACCCGTGTGGGGCTTGGCCTTTTTCCATCTTATTTTGCCTTTATGGGCACTTGACTTTGATTTCCTTTCTTTTCAAGAATTTTTTGACTCTGGAGCATCGGCCATCATGGCCAGTCGAGGTCGACTTAATGCACCTGCTGAGGCTGGGTGCTTTCTTGAATATTAGCTTTTGTCAAACAAAACCCTGTAAGACCAATCTTGCTATCTTTTCTTTATATTAGTTTCAGAGGAGAATTAGACCGAAAGGAATTCAAAGAAAAGTAAACAAAGGACATGATAATGAATTTAAACGTGAAGTGTCCCTTTCGGGGAAAAGAAAGAAGGGCTTATCTGGAGTGCATGCAGACTTCAATAGACATGACATGCTTCTTGGACTGGATACCCGATCTGTGTAAACCATCCAACTCTCATAAACCCATCATAACCCATATCTCAAAACCGAGAAACCTTGCCATGACTCTATCAGTAACGATGGTTGTAAGGGATCCCTTTTTCGATCAGTGGCGCCCTTTGCGGGTTTTCACCAACTTACCTCTCTCATTTCTCTTCTCACCGTCGTCTTCTAGTACTCTTTGCCAGTTTTCACTAACAAGACTCTCATTTTCAATTTCTCTGCTTACCATCACCCTATGGTTCCCGTGTGGGTTTTCACCAATAAGACTCTCTCATTTTATTTCTCTCATTTGATTGTATCAGATCCTAGTAACCATATTCTCCAATTTTGGACATCTTTACCGATTGATCGGAAGGACTTGAACAGGACTTGGGGTGAAAAGAATTTGGATTGAATTACAACTTTGGAACTTTTCAGGCAAAAACTATTGCCGAACCAATATAACTTCTGCCCCAGTTTTAGCTTTGGGGGAATATGGATTTTTGTTTTGGTGTGACTGAACCCCAGAGAGAGGCTGCCTACGTATCCTTTTGGAATCAAGTCGAACATAGTTCGGGGAATTTTGTTTTTGATTTTTTTTAACAACATTTCGGGTTCCAAAGAGGGTAGTCAAAGAAAGGTAACTGGCTTAAAGGGTTTGCAAAGGGTTGATAGTGTTTGGGTAGCGATAATGAAAGCCTTCATCATCCTAATCGGAGAATATTAGCACATCAGAAGGGTTAAACGTAATACCTTTTGATCGCGTCCGCATTGGCAGCTGTTTTGGGGTCATTTCCTTCAATGTCACCCAAGTACAATGCCCCTTTTGGCAACAATTTCCTTATAATGTATGGACCTTTCCAATTTGGAGCGAATTTCCCTTTGGCTTCCTTATGATGCGGGAGAATACGCCTTAAGACAAGTTGCCCCACCTCAAAGTTTCTGGGCTGCACTTTCTTGTTGTAGGCGCGGGCCATTCTTTTTTGATACAACTACCCGTGGCAAACAGCGGCCATCCGCTTTTCATCAATCAGGGTTAACTGTTCTAGACGGGTCTTAACCCATTCGTTGTCCTCAATCTCTGCTTTAACGATGATTCGAAGAGAGGGAATTTCAACTTCTGCGGGTATTACGACTTCAATGCCATAAACCAATAGATAGGGTGTTGCCCCAACCGATGTGCGCACAGTGGCGTGGTATCCCAACAATGCAAAAGGCAACTTTTCATGCCATTATCTGGAACTTTGAATCATTTTCCTAAGGATCTTCTTGATGTTTATGTTTGTCGCCTCAACAGCAACATTGGCTTTGGGTCGATAAGGGGTAGAATTCCGATGCGTGAGCTTAAATTGTTCGCATACCTCCCTCATCAAATGGCTGTTCAAATTTGCAGCATTGTCAGTGATGATAGTTGTAGGAATACCAAAGCAACAGATAATGTTGGAATGCACAAAATCCACCACCGCTTTCTTGGTGACGGCTTTGAGAGTGTCTGCTTAACCCATTTCGTGAAATAATCAATGGCAACTAAGATGAATTTGTGTCCATTCGAAGCTTTTGGCTCGATTGGCCCAATGACATCCATACCCCAAGCAACAAATGGCCAAGGTGCTGACATCGGGTGCAGTTCTGAAGGAGGTGTATGAATCAGGTCACCGTGTATCCTACACTGATGGCATTTATGGACAAAACTGAAGCAATCCTTTTTCATGGTCATCCAGTAATAACCCGCCCTGAGGATTTTCTTTGCAAGGACATATCCGTTCATATGGGGTCCGCACACTTCTGCATGTACTTCGTTCATGATTCTTCCTACCTCTTGGGTATCTATGCATCTTAAAAGGTTCAAGTCTAGAGTTCTTTTGTACAACACCTCTCCGCTTAAGAAGAAACCACCGGCGAGTCTTCTAATGGTTCTCTTTTGATCTCCACTGTCTTGTTCAGGATATTCCTTTGTTTTCAAGAATCTTTTAATATCATGGTACCATGGCTAAACATCTAGTTCTATCTCAATTGTATTTCAATAACCATGTCTTTCTCGAATTTGGATTTCCACTGGGTCAATGTGGACATTGCCTGGATACGGTAGCATCGAGGCCAAAGTAGCTAGTGCATTGGCTAATTCATTGTGACTGAGGAATGTACCTGAACTCGACGGATTTGAATCGCTTGCTAAGGTCTTCCACATGCCGCCTGTATGGGATAAGTTTGATATCTCGGGTTTCCCATTCACCTTGAGCTTGTCGAATGATCAAGTCAGAATCTCCCATGATTAACAATTCTTCCACATCCAAATCAATTGTCATGTTCATGCCCATAATGTAAGCTTCATACTCAGCAGTATTGTTTATACAAAAGAAACGGAGTCGGGCTATGGCCGGATAGTGCCGACCGGCGGGTGAAATCAAAATTGCCCTAATCCCGACACCTTTCGCATTTACTGCTCCATCAAAGAACATTTTCCAGGCCTTGGTGTCTTCTGAAGTTACCTCGACTGAATTTACTTCCTCGTCCGGAAAGTAAGTACTCCAGGGTTGATATTCATCATCAACAAGATTCTCAGCTAGGTGATCCGCCAAGGCTTGAGCTTTCATTGCTGTACGGGTGACATAGACTATGTCAAACTCGGTAAGCAGGATTTGCCATTTTACTAACCTCCCGGTGGGCATTGGCTTTTGGAATATGTATTTCAAAGGATCCAACCTGGTAATGAGATAGGTGGTATAAGCCAACAAGTAATGCCTAAGCTTCTGAGCGACCCAAGTTAGGGCGCAACAAGTTCTTTCCAACAAAGTGTACTTGGCTTCATAACTAGTGAACTTCTTGCTCAAATAGTATATGGCTTGTTCTTTCTTCCCGGTCACATCATGTTGCCCGAGAACACATCCAAAAGAATTCTCCAACACTGTCAAGTACAAGAACAAAGGCCTTCCAGGCTCGGGTGGGACCAACACGGGCGGATTCGACAGATATTCTTTGATTTTGTCGAAATCTTCTTTACATTCATCTGTCCATCTAATCGCCGCATCTTTTTTCAATAGCTTAAATATGGGCTCACATGTGGTAGTCAGCTGAGCAATGAACCTGCTGATGTAATTCAATCTTCCCTATAGACTCATAACCTCTTTCTTGGTTTTCGGAGGGGGCAAGTCCCGAATAGACTTTATCTTTGTTGGGTCTAGCTCGATGCCCCTCCAACTGACTATAAACCCCAAAAGTTTCCTAGATGGTACTCCAAATGCACACTTAGCTGGATTCAACTTCAAGTCATACTTACGCAGGCGCTCAAAGAACTTTCTCAAATCTCGCACATGGTCATCCTGCGTTTTAAATTTAATTATCACATCATCCACATACACCTTAATTTCCTGGTGCATCATGTCATGAAAGATGGCAGTCATATCTCTCATGTAAGTTGCCCCGGCGTTCTTTAAACCAAACGGCATGACCCTGTAACAGTATATACCCTAAGGTGTGGTGAAAGTCGTCTTTTTAACGTCTTCTTCATCCATCAGAACCTGATGATACCTAGCATAACAATCCACGAAAGACTGTATCTCATGTTTGGCACAGTTGTCAACAAGGATGTGGATGTTTGGTAATGGTTGTCCTTGGGGCTTGCTTTGTTCAAATCTCGATAATCAACACACACTTGGGTTTTCCCATCTTTCTTTGGCACTGGGACCACATTAGCCAACCATGTGGTGTATCGGACCACTCGAATCACGCCCGCTTTCAACTGTTTGGTGACTTCTTCTTTGATCTTGTCACTAATGTTTGTATTAAACTTTCTCTGTTTTTGTTGGACAGGGGGATAACAGGGGTAAGTTGGCAATTTGTGCACCACTAAATCAACAATCAGTCCTGGCATATCATCATAGGACCAGGCAAAAACATCTTTGAATTCGAACAAAAGTTGGACCAATGCATCTCTAGTTCTTTCATCAGCGTGAATGCTTATCATGGTTTCCTGTACCTCTTCCGGACTACCCAAATTAACTAGCTCGGTTTCATTTAAGTTTGGCTTAGGCTTATTCTCAAATTGTTCCAGTTCTCGATTTATTTCCTTAAAAGCCTCATCTTTATCATATTCCGGTTCTTGGTTCATTATTTCATAGCTAGACAGCATATTAAGACCTGGGCATGAAGTTCACAAGCATGTCATGTTATTTAAGTCCGCATTATTAGAACTGAAAAAGAGAGATAAGAAAAAATAACAAAAATCAGAAAGAATAAAGACAGAAATTCATAAACGATGAAATATTGATTTCATTTCATTGAATTTGAAGATAGGAGGGTTTACATTGGAAATTTAAAAGACAATAAACTAAAAACATTCGAGTTACACCCTGAAATAATTCGGAATGCAGAAAAGATGGCAACACTGAACTACCGGGATTCCCGCTTGACTGGGAATGGAGTAGCCTTCCAATTTTGAAGCTTGGCATTCGGCCCCACATATTGCACCTCAGCGGTGCTTGAGCCTTCACCCGGCTGGACCATATGAGCCTCATATAACATTTTCCTTATCGCTCCACAAATATCCTTAATTTCTTCGGCCGTGAAGGCCTCATCTTCTTCTTCTATGTACCTTGGCTTAACAAAGAGAGATTTGGACCGGCTGAGGCAAGAACCACCCATTTTACTTACGTTCATTAGCCCATGTTACGTCAGCTTCTGTAGCTTGGAAACCTACGCCAAAGAATTTCTCACTGGCAGTTAGAGTGATGGGCTCCGTGATGCCTTGCAAAGATACCCCGAGCCTTTTCGCGGGCTTGTACCCGTGTTTGATCATTTTAGTGGCGACCATGATTGACGCGTTTGATGAGAAGGGTTGAGGACACGGGGTTCCCTCCTCACACTGGTCCGCGACCACGATCTCAAAAGCTTGGTAGACTATGTGCTTACTACCTTCTTTAGCCTCTAGACAGGGAACTGATGGGTCCCTGTAGATTGATTGCTCATCTTCTTCGGACCACGATTTCTTGGTCTTCGTGTTCAAACTTAAACATTTGGTGGAGAGTAAAAGGTACGGGCTCCTGCAACATGGATCCAAGGCTTCCTAGGAGAAAATTGTAGGAGGTGTCCATGTCCAAAACCTGAAATGTTACTTCAAAATCCACAGGGCCGATGGTTAGGATCAAATCAATCTCCCTTATCGTATCCCTCTTGACGCTGTCAAAAGCACGTACACAAACATTGTTGGGTCTAATCCTTTTAGTCCCAATTTCCATTCTCTGTAAGGTAGAGAGAGGGCAGATGTCAACCCCAGATCCGCCATCCAACATAACTCTTTTCACATAGTATCCTTCACACTTAACGGTCAAATGAAGAGCTTTAGTGTGGGCAACCCCTTCTGGAGGCAAGTCATTTCGACTAAATGAAATTCGGTTGACTTCGAAAAATTATTCCGCCATTCTTTCTAATTGTTCAATCGTGGTCTCGATCGGAACATATGCCTCATTAAGCGTCTTTAACAGCACTTTCTGATGCTCATTAGAGCTTATCATCAGGGACAAAAGTGAGACATGAGAGGGGGACTTTCTGAGTTGATCAATCACGGCGTAGTCCAAGGTTTTCATTTGTCGGAATAATTCTTCTGCCTCTTCAGCACTGACTGGCTTTTTAAGCGGAAAATGCTTCTATTTTGTTCTTGTTCAATTCTTCCAAGTTGAAGTACTTCCTAGACGGGTTTGTTTCATTCACTTCCCCCATGATTTCTTTTCCTTTGTACGTCACCACTGCTTTGTTGTAGTTCCAGGGGACGGCAGTGGGATCCTTCATGGTATTCTGTGGGGCGCGGCTGATAACCACGGGCTCAGTCAGCCTGGGTGAAATTATCATCCTCCGTGCCACATAGGCCCCCTTTGGTACGTACATCTTTGGTACCTTCAGTGTGACCTTGTTTTGCTCAAACCTTTTAGGAGGACTCAACACAAGATGTTCCTTCCTAGGGGCTCTGGGAACATAGAGAATGGCATCTTTAGGAGGTACTGCCCCTGTCTTGGTTTCCACAACCTTTTTTGTGTTTTGAGGAGTGGAGTTGCTCTTCTTCTCATCCTTAGCTTGCTTTGCTGCCGCTTTGGGCTTCTTTTCAACATCGGCAATAGCAATGATAGCTTTCAAAGCTGGGTCGAACTCTCTGTCCTCACAAATCATCCCAATAACCGGCCCGTTGTTGTGAGCTGGCAATGGGTTATTGGTTACATTGCGGACCTCCCCATCCCCCAACACAACACGCTTTTGTTCTATCAGGTTCTCAACTGCTCTCTTAAGGGTCCAACAATCTTCAGTGTCGTGTCCTTCTGCCCCTGAATGATAAGTGCATCGGGTACCTAGTCGGTAGGAGGGTAACTCTGGGTTTTGCCTATTTGGAGTTACGGGCTGTAACAAACCCATTTGGACCAATTTTGGGAAGAGGCTGGAATATGATTCATCGATGGGTGTGAAGTTGGTTTTTCTGGGTGGTTCACGGGTACGGGCGTTATATGGAAAATTATTCTGTGGTGGATGGGGATTATATAGAGCTTGGTGAGGAGGGTTATTTCTGGGAGGTGGAACTCGGTTCTGAGTGTAATGTTGTTGCGGCCGAGCATATGGCTGGGCGTTCATTACTGCATAAGGATGAGGAGTCATGGCATATGCCGCATCTTGGTGAGGGTAGTAATGTTGTGGGGGGCTGGAAGAGGAACCAAAGTAACCTCGGGGTTGACGGGGATTTCTCAGGCTTGAGGCCACCATTGCTACCTCTTCTTTCTTTTTCCGGTTTGCTACACCCCCTGATCCACTTTGGATTGCTTGAGAAGTGGCCCTTATAGCCGATTGGCTCATGATACGACGCGTCTTCAAACCATTTTCCACCATCTCCCCAATCTTTATGGCTTCTGCAAATGGCTTGCCCATGGCGGATATCATGTTCTGGAAATAATCAGCCTCTTGGGCTTGCAGGAAGACACTAACCATCTCGATCTCATCCATTGGGGGTTTTACCCTGGCCGCTTGCTCGCGCCATTTGATAGCGTATTCTCGGAAGCTTTTTGAAGACTTATTTTTAAGATTGGACAAAGAGTTTCTATCTGGAGCTATGTCCACATTGTACTGGAATTCTCTGACAAAGTCTCGGGCCAAATCATCCCATATGTGCCAGTGGGAGATGTCCTGGTCCATATACCATTCTGATGCGATTCCAGTTAAGCTCTCTCCGAAGTAAGCCATCAATAGTTCTTCCTTTCCGCCCGCTCCTCTTAACTGACTACAATATCTTTTCAAATAGACAATCGGGTCTCCATGCCCGTCATACTTCTCGAATTTTGGTGTTTTAAAACCGATAGGCAGATGAACATGAAGAAACATGCACAGGTCGGCATAGGAAACACTCTTCTGGCCACTTAGGCCCTGTATGTTCTTGAGATTTGTTTGATGGTTTTCATTTTTTGATTCATTTCTTCTTGCTCGGGGTTTTTCATAGTTTTCTCTTGTTCCATGGCAGATTCATACCGAGGGTGCTGTGGGTAAGAGTTCGGGGTGACATGAGCCGTGTCAAGTTGAAATTGTGGTACTTGAAAAGTAAAGGATGGTGGCTCAAAACATGGTCTGGGCACTGTTGCTTGTGCAGTAGCAGAGGTTGGTGGTGCGGTGAATATTGTAGAAGATATTCTCGAGAACAGTGCATGGGGGCGAACCTCAAAAGGCATTCTGGTGAGACGAGTTGACCTATAGGGGTATCCGAACGGGGTGAACGGATTGTTTATAGGGACGTTGGAGGTTCCACCGGTCCTGGGAATCAGTTCGGGAAATCTAGGGATTGTACTTGGCGGTTCTCTACCGTTAAACCAGGCGTCCCACATTTCCAATATTTGGAGATGCAGCATTCTGTTTTCCTCAACAGTTGCCGACTCTGAGGTCGGGATAACCGTTGTCGGTCTATCCTCTGAGGGGTTGATGATCGCTAGGTGACTCTCTGATGTCATTTCAACACTCCCTTTAGATCTCGTGAAGTAAGGGTGCGTAGCCAGGTTACCACAAAACCAACCACCTAAAACAGAACCTGTTCTCAATAGCATACACAACAAATCGGTTAGTTTGAGACATTTAACACATAGGGAATCGCACATTGGGGGAATCCAATGCACCTGGACAGTTAAACGTTTTTCTACATGCTTTGCAACGGTTGCGTGTCTCATCCCGGCTTTTGTTACCTCCCGGATCTTTGAATCTTTTTCTTTTCTTTACGCTTTTTCATTATTTTCTCTCTTTTCTTTGCGCTCTCTCTTTTGCATTATTTTCTCTCTTTTTTTGTGCCCTCTTTTCATCATTTTCTCTCTTATTCGAGTTATCTACAGCTATGACCAGATCCGATGGGGAATGCCTATGTATCGGGATGCCGCGCGAATCAGATCATTACGTAGTTCAGGGGATAAATACGAAATAAAAGAAAGAAACACACTTTTTTTGGGTTTTCAAATTTTCATTAAATAAAACTTCTGATTCTGCTCCGTTACAAAGACTCTGACATATAGACTTAAGAACTAAAAACCAAAACAGACTCAAAGTAGACTAACAGACTCTAAAAAAACTGAAATACAAACTCGAAAAGAAAAAATCAGGAATACATAAGTGCCTCTAATACTACTCCCAGGGGCCCGCGGGACATCAGTCGGTCTCGACGCGGGCCTACGTGCAATATCTTCTTGGAGGCGATCCAGGTCGTCCATTATCTGGCGAACAAAAGTCATCACAGCGGCGAAGAAAGTGGATCTAGTCATATCCTCGCACTCATGGCATTTCATGACAATATAATAAGCAATTCCTCTAATCCTTTCTCTAATGATGCCTTTCTCTTGGAGTAGGCGTCCAATTTGTTGAGATCTAGCTTCCAGAACTTGGGTGCCCGTATGGCTTTGCTCCTGAAACTGTCGCATGTCCTCTTCCAGCCGGGACATCAATGCATAACAATGTTCCCTCTCTGCCTTGAAGTTCTTTGTCTGTTGAGCCATTTCATTCTCGAGGGTAGTTAGCTTTTTCTTTAGATTTGCGACCTCTCTATCATATTTTTCTTTTAATTGCCGAACAAACTCTGCCCGTCCTTCTGCGTTCTTCGCCAACCTTGACCGGGCTCTTGCCAATCTACCTTTGGACTTTTCCAAATCAGTCCCATACTCACATACTTTCCTCCTGAGACCGTTTATGAGTTTTTCATCTGCTCTGCTTCTTACTTGGTTTTCAGCAGCTATTTTCATTCTTTGAATCTGGGCACGGAAGGCTTCATTTTCTTGGGCTAATTTCTTCTTCTCCCCTTCATCCGCATCAGCTTGTAAACCATTATAAAATTTAAGATCTCTAATTTGCCCTTCTAATTTGCTTATGGTAGTTCTGTATCCCTTCTCCTTAGCTAACCAGTTCCATTGCTCTTGCGCTTCATTAGTGAAGTGTTGCACATGGGGCTTTTTGGCGGGCCGTTCTGGCTCTTGATGGACTCGAGCTCTTTTACCATCCCAGGCTATGTATCTAGGTTCTACTTCAGCTCTAGACAGATCCCGTACTCGAGTCCGGGACTCAAGGAACCTACATTGGTGCCAAATCTGGCAAACCATTTTTTCCAGGAATGCAGCTTTTGGACATAATTCAATAACTTGTCGACA